AGACCGGGCTGCGCGCAAAGGTCACGAGGGCCTCGTTCTCGTGGTCGGCCTGCTTGCGTGGCCGGTCGGGTGTCGGGCGCCGGCGCGTCGGCTGCTGGCAGAGGAGCACCATCGCTGTCGTCGAATGATGAAGCGCTGGCGAAGAGTGAGACATAGAAACCGTGGCCAGCACTGGAGTGTTGGGTGAGTATTTTTACCCAATCAAAGCGCGTGGTTTCCGTATCTTGGTTATTTTGACCAATCAGACGTCTCGGGAAGAGAACGGACAGAGCCACGTGGTGGTGGAATGTTGCAAGCCACGCCACCTGAAGGCCGCTTGGCGTCGCAACTGGATAGATATCTGGAGCAATAAATAGTCCACGCACGAATGACCTTCGCCAACGCTGCTAAGAACGGAATTTGGAATGTCACCGCGCGACTACTCGACGGCGTTGGGCTGTCCAACGCCCCGTACTGTAAATTGGGGGCCAGTTCGAAGGGCGGGTGGCTACTTTGAGCGAAGGGGAGAAGACGGCGTTCGTCTTCAAGTCCAAGCAAACTGAGTTTTCGGATTGCCTCCGAACCAGGCCGGGACGCACACTGTACTTGCGGCTACCGTACGTAGTACAAATGTACTGCTCCTCCAACTCTTGAGCCCGGCGTCAGGACTGTCGCAGTCGATGTCTGACCCGAACGCCATCGATGCTTGGGTGTCGTCGCGCTGTGGATGGGCACGCTGGCGGGAAGGTCCAGTGGAGCCCACATCGCATGCGATTGCGTTGGCTACCTGCTACCGTACTGGAGTCTCACGCGTCCTTTGGAAAGGATGGCGCATTATCAAAGCAAGCTGCGAAGACAAGAGCCTCTGAGCGACGCCATCGGCAGCCGTGTCTTTGTGGGGGCATCAGGTTGAAGTTGTCACAACGGACGCACGAAACACGGTACGCGGATTGGCTAGAATTATGGGCTGAGAACGAAAGCCATTGGTCGACAGCTGGTTGAATCTCGAGCGGACGCGACGCGGATTGGTAGAAATTCGTTCGAGTGTCTGAGTTTCTGGACAGGTTTGTGGTTGTTCGTCAAAGGACGACCACGAGGCCAAGAGAAAGCTAAGAACGAGTCCTTGCCGCGTAGAGTGGAGCCCATCGATCGCTTTGTTTGCTCCCAGTCCCACTATCGTATTCGCCTCTACCCTACCGACGCGGCAAGATTCTTCAAGCATAGATTTGTTGTTGGCTTCTTTAACGCAACTCGCTGAAAATCTACCAATGAAAAGCATTTTGAGCCACATACGCCTCAGGATTGGCTGCAATCAGCCAATGAATAGCGCTGCCAGTCTAAACAACGCGAGCTGGCATCGGGACGAGTTGCGGTAGCGGCGCTTGATGCCACGGATGCGCCACCGCGGCAAGCGAGCAGCTGAATTTAGTATCTTCCAGCTTACCGGTACTGGTAGACAACGATACACCTCTCTGAAGCTCATGCAACGTGATAGACTTGGACGTCCGGTTCTTATGCATCCAAAGCACTCACTACATTGTGCGATTATGTTGACGGCGCTTGGATCCAACTACCAACCGAGTGACTTTCGACGGGTTTAGAAGCAAGCTCGTGGTCCTACTGTACTAGTAGAACGTTTGAAAGATATCGACATCAAGTTCTTCGTGCATATCAGCTCTGAGCGCGGCGTCATGAGATCTCTAAAGCTTTGCTGCACCGGCGTATGGACAAGCGACAACAATCGCCTCGGTCAGCTCAAAGGTTCGAGTCATCAACTCTCGGCACGTCTCGGCACTTCTCTAAAGACAGGGCGGTGATGATATTATTGTCGAGCAAGCAATGCAGCGTCCTTATCGGGGAAGGATTCGCTTATCGCGCAGGTGGTCGGGATGCCAGACAAGCTACGAAGGCTAGGACTAGAAAGGCGCCGCCGCGTGAGACGGAAGCAAAACTGAAACTCAAAAACCATCAGTACGATTCCGGGTTGGCGCAGCACGTAAATGTTGCCGTGGCTTGTCCACTCTTTTGGAAACAAAAGTCTATCGACGTTGTCGATATTGTCGATGTTGTCGATGCTTATCGAGTCGGATTGGTCATAATTGACTAATCTAAATAATGTTGACACGCTCATATTTGCGTGTGATGTCTTCGTTGTTGCCGAGCGAATAGATCGTCTCTTGGTCGTGATCAAACGAAGGGTGTTGATGCCCTGGGGTTCTACGACCTCCATGGGTTCTGTGGCAAAACCCTAATCACCACCAATAATTCTTTCAATGTATTTAATCCGCCCGCCATGCAATTCGAAACCTCTAAACACACAACACTCGCGCACTGCAAGCGGTCTTCACATACAAAAACCTACAATCAAGTGCACCGCGACATCCCAACACCTATCAAGGCATCACGATGGTGCTCGCCCGTGACGTGGCGTGTCGCTGTACAATACTAGTACCCCAAAAAGAAATTTGCGTCGTCTTATTGTCAAGTCTAGTACAACCAAGGGTCTACAAGCCACAGGACAAGGCAAGGGACACAAGCATGTGCAGTGGCGTGTGCATTGATTTGATATATGTACTAGTATGATGTTTGACGCGGCGTTGTTGTGCTGAGGGCACTGTCGCCACGCGACATATTGCTCTCGCCTTTCTACTCGCTACACGGCGGAGCGCCGTTCGCTTGTGGTTGCAACC